TGCACATTTAGATTAGCGGACTATATTTTTAAAAATATGTTTCATTGAAGACAATGTCCTTAAATTCTCTGTTCAAGGACATCTAAACCAGTAAGGTCCGTTGACCAGAAAGTGGTTAATTTACTTCTCCAGCCTTTTGCAATGATCAAAACCTGTTGAATTGGATAATATTGATCCACAGTTAAATTTCATGCTAATTCAGAAGGGATGCAGGGATGCTCAGCTTGTACTGGCAACATTGACTGGTAGAAGATCTTAGAATTTCAACCAGAATCAATCCTGTGCCAAGGAATGAACCTAGTACTTGATGCATGGAAAACTAGTGTTCAAACACTGATTTGTGACCCTTTGCTACAACTCAAGAAAAGTTCACCTGTTGCCAGGTGTGTTATTTTCAAGTGGTGACTTTTAGTGAAAATTAATTTTGACTTATCCATTTTTTTCCCTTCTGGCTTTTAACTCTGACTTAGTTTCCAACTGTATCTTGTGTTGCTCTGATATTTTGTATCTCTGTATGAACCATTTCCTTAACTTCTCTAGAGGAATGATGGCAAGTGAATGGTGCAATCGCAATGGCCCAACCTGTTTGCAAATTTGAAACCAATGTTAAATTTAGCAGCAGTAATCCAGTGTGTATGTACCAAGATCAGCATATATACAGTCTTTCAAAGTTCCATGCAGTTGTTCAGGACTTGCTAGTAGACAACTTGCTGATCAACTTGATATTAGATGCATCTACATTGTACAATTCATGTAGCTTGACACCACTTTTAACTGCCATGGCTTAATGCTATGGAGTCTTGGGAGTTATTGTTTTGCAAAGTCTGCAGCCTTCTCTACCAAAAGTGCAGATAACTCACCCAACTACAAATCCCATGATTTTTGTCTTTCTTGGAATCTCAAGGAAATACAACTTTATGATCAACTTCTGCCAATTTTGCTGGAGGTCTTAGAGATTCCTGGAGAAATATGCTAAATTTGGGAGTATTAAAAAGCTTGGTTGATGACATGAATTTTCCTCTCTGTGGTCAACTTCTGGCCGAGGCTGGAGGTCCTAGTGATTTCTAGAGAACATATTTATTATTTATTATTACTGGTATTTATTTCTAACATTTCTACCTGGTCCTTCTCAATCCCCGAAGGGGGGCTCAGGATGACTTCCACTTGTCAACAATTTGATGCCGTTACATATAACAATTACAATAAAACAACAATTAAAACAATAAATAGAGCATTAATTAAAACCATAAAACAGTAATGTCAGCTGTATCACCATTCCAGTCGAATCCACATGCCTGCTGTCCAAAAGCCTGGTCCCAGAACCACGATTTTAATTTCTTCCTAAAAGACATACTAATCAAATTGGTGAACAATCAAATCCACAAAAGTTAAACCCACAAATATGAATGGCCGACGATATTTTGTACACAGGATTCACCATTTTGGATAGACTAAACTCTATAGTGGACATGTAGCTCCACTGATAAGGAAACCTCTTGCCACGACTAAACTTTATCTCTACTTCTTGTGTAGTTTTCAAAATGTAATTTCAAGACTTTCTGCAAACTCCTGCACTAAGGTCTCTCTCGGAAATATGAATCTTCATTCACCCTTTGGGTTTACTGAATATTTGGTCCCACTAGGGATCCATTGCAACATCTTCAACCATTCAATAGTTGAAATTTGTGTTATACAATGCATTGCTCCGTTGTCATGGCTTCAGACTGTTTACAAACTTGAGTATTCTTGTGGACATCACCAGATATCAAAAACTTACCCATGGCTGGAGGTTTTTTAAAACAGAGATTGGTTGGTCTCATCTACACTGCCATATAATACAGTATAGCAACCACATTAGGCGGGTGCATCCATACAATGCACGCAGGCTAATGCGATAAACTGAATCTTGCTGACCCTGGATTAAAAACAAAACACCAGGAAAGATTTGAATCTTGCAACACAATCCAAACCTTTCACAGTGTTGGGGCAATGGGGAGTGCCATCCTGGATCCCTGTGTGGGATCCAGGATCACATCCTCACAGCCATCCTTCACTTGCCAGGTTCAAGTATTCTGGGAAAGTGGGATTACACTGAAAACAAGACAAACTACCTTTACTGTCACTGCCTGCTCTTTATGTCCTGAGTCTTGGCCTGCATCAATAGGAGCATAGTGTCTAGATCTAGGAAAGTCATGCTCCCCATGCTCTATTCTGCTTTGGTTAGACCACACCTGGAATATTGTGTCCAATTCTGGGCACCACAATTCAAGAGAGATATTGACAAGCTGGAATGTGTCCAGAGGAGGGCGACTAAAATGATCAAGGGTCTGGAGAATAAGCCCTATGAGGAGCGGCTTAAGGAGCTGGGCATGTTTAGCCTGAAGAAGAGAAGGCTGAGAGGAGACATGATAGCCATGTATAAATATGTGAGAGGAAGCCACAGGGAGGAGGGAGCAAGCTTGTTTTCTGCTTCCTTGGAGACTAGGACGCGGAACAATGGCTTCAAACTACAAGAGAGGAGATTCCATCTGAACATGAGGAAGAACTTCCTGACTGTGAGAGCCATTCAGCAGTGTAACTCTCTGCCCCGGAGTGTGGTGGAGGCTCCTTCTTTGGAAGCTTTTAAACAGAGGCTGGATGGCCATCTGTCAGGGGTGATTTGAATGCAATATTCCTGCTTCTTGGCAGAATGGGGTTGGACTGGATGGCCCATGAGGTCTCTCTTCCAACTCTTTGATTCTATGATTCTATTATTCTTCATCATTAAGGAAGCAAAGGAGCTTCAGAGGAAGAGAAAGAGCTATTTTGCTCCCTGAATGATGAAAAATAAGGAAATATAGAACATATGTAAGGGAGCGGGGAACAAGAGGAAGCAAACCTGTGCCCAGCGGTACCAAACTGGCTTTGGCAAGACTGTGCTGTCAGGCTGGTGACCCGCTGCAGTCTTATAAGAAAGCATAGGAAAGTGGAGAGAACTGTTGCATTCTAGAACAGGAACAGGGCCCTCTAATCATTAATTACACCACACCTCGAATGAAGGAAGAGTTCATTTTATTCGAAGAATAACTGCAGCCAATAAAAGAGGTGAATATAAAATAAGTAGAAGTCCAAAAGCAAAAAGCCAAATAAAGCAGCAACATAAGCAGTGTCCAAACATAGGAATAATAACAATGTCCCAAAGCTTGCAGAAATAATCCAAATGCAATGAATAACCAAAAGCCTTCAAAATAAAACCATGAACAGACTAGCCACTGCTAATCCACTTGAAAAGCCATGAATCCTTAGAGACGAGGTCACATGAAACAGGAATATCCAGGAGACTTGAACTTGATTCCAAATGATGCCTGGTCTAAAGAAAATTCTCTAAAAGCTCAATTTAAGTCCCAAAAACTGGTTTCTACACCCCCCAGTTTTTGGCCTTAACTGCCAAATTCTTTCTGACCTGCGTAAACATTGGGCCTCTCGGCGGTTCTGGCTGATTTCCAGATGGCGACTGGTCTCCTCATTAACTGCAGCAGGTGTGAAACTATCTTGCAAGCTCGAGTCTGGAGAAGGGAGTAAACTTTCTCCCCTTGCTGTGACAGGAACTTTCTCATGAAAACTTAGCCTTTCCCCTGACCCTTCTCGATCAGAGTCTGCAGTAACCTTATTGTCCAAAGTGTCTCCATTTTGCACCTCATCCTCATTGATCACATCAGGTTCACTATCTAAGTCAGACCCAGAAACATTAGAAGGGGAAACACAATCACAGATTCAGGCTCAAACACAGGCTAAGTCCCAACAGGAACCATCTTATACTATTACCTCCCATCGTTCCCCATCTTCAGGGATGGCCAGCCATCCTATGTGATTACCACACCTTTCCCTGTCTTCTCCCCATTTCCCCCCTCATTATCCTGCTTGGAGTCAGGAAATACCTGACTCCTGAAGATGGTCTTCAGGCTCTTTTTCCATGTGCTTAGAAAATGGGGTGCCACAGGGACCCACTGTCCTAAGCACATGAAACGGAGCCAGAATACCATCTGATGAGGTCCTACATGACTTGGAACCGGCATTCCTTATGCCAGTTCTGAGCTGCATTTTGTGCCTGTGCAGACAGGCCATTTTAGTAATTCTTAGCTGCATATTCCTCCATTGAAATGAAACTGGATTCAAGACTTGTCAGTTGGCAATCATATTGTTTATTAAATGGAAGCATATAGTTATTGGACTAATAATCCCTTTCATACCTTACTGCAATGATACTATACAGGCAGTTTCCATGTTACAATCATCCAACTTACAAATAGTTAAGAATGGAAGTGAGAGAAATCTCCCCCTGAACATGGGGGAAAGGTGTCTCCACTGAAGCTTTATCCCAATCCTTATTTCCACATTTTTCAAAATCCAGTTATCACAGGGACAGAAAGTGAGATGAAATCTTCTGCACAAGGGCACAGACAGCCCTTCCCTATGCTATCCAAAGCTTGTGTGTGTTTGTGTGTGTATACTGGAGTTACACGTAAAAATGTACCATTATGCATAGCATGCATCATTCATTGAAGATGGAGGTGTATTGCGCATGGATTGGATAAATATGTGGGTTTGGTTGCAAATTTGGTGTCTTGGTTCAGTCATGCAACGTTGCTATTCAGGACAAGGATTGTATTGTGTAATACAGACATCCTCAGACTGCGGTCCTCCAGCTGGGTTGCTGTGAGATTTCTGGGCTGTATGGCCATGTTAGAGAAACATTCTCTCCTGATGCTTTGCCCACATCTATGGCAGGCATCCTCAGAGTTGTGAGGTCTGTTGGGAACTAGGTAAGTGAGGTTCTCCATCTGTTTGGACCTTCAACTCCCAGAATTCCTGACCATTGCCTTGTTATCTCATTGTAGCATCTCCTAGGTTAACATATAGTGAGTTTAGTCATCTGAAGCATCAGGTTCATATGGGGTTGGATATTGTTGATGATGACTATCACCGTTGGATTCATGTCATTTTTTCTTCTTGTGTTGCAGTTACCTATAAGCATTATCCAGGATGACCCAGCCATCCGCTGACTACCTCTCTTCCTCCGTCTCCTACAATTATGACCAGCCCCTTCCTCCTTTGGCTCGGACGAATGCCGTCACCCAGGTGCCCCCGGCCAAGAAGATAACCTTCTACAAGAGTGGGGACCCTCAGTTTGGAGGGGTCAAGATGGCCATCAACCAACGCAGCTTCAAGAGTTTCAACGCCCTCATGGATGACCTCTCCCACCGGGTGCCCTTGCCTTTTGGGGTGCGGACCATTACGACCCCACGGGGCATACACTGCATCAGCACACTGGATCAGCTGGAAGACGGCGGCTGCTACCTCTGCTCAGACAAGAAATACGTCACCCCCATCAGTATCGGGGCTGCCAACCGAAGGACAGGTTCGCAGAAGACCAGTGCTTTGAGGAAGGCAGCCCAGGATGGGAAGCAGGACGACCACTCATCGGGTTTTGCCCAACAGAGCCCTAGGATACCAAAGAAGGTGACTCTGGTCAAGAATGGAGATATCACTGCCCAACGGCCCATTATCCTCAACCGGAGGAATGCCCGGAGCCTCAAAACCCTCCTGGATGAAATTTCAGACATTATGCAATTCACAGTGAAGAAGCTGTTCACATTGGATGGGAGGAAGGTGAGTCTTCATGCTTCCTAGGTTGAGTTGCACCAGCCATCTAGCTCAATAGTCTTCAGCCTTTGGTCCTCCAGATGTTTTGGATTCCAACTCCTAGAATCCCTGGCTGTTCATAGAATCATGGAAGTGATCCCAAGGGCCATCCAGGCCAATCCCCCTCTGCCATGCAGGAACACACAATCAAAGCATCCCTGACAGATGGCCAACCAGCCTCTGCCGCAAAGCCTTCAGATAGAGAGACTCCACCGGTCTCACAGGCAGCATATTCTATTGACCATGTTAATTGAGGCTTTCTGGAGGTTTTTTTTTTTTTTGGTTGTGTCAGGAGCGACCTGAGAAACTGCAAGTCGCTCCTGGTGTGAGAGAATTGGCCGTCTGCAAGGACGTTGCCCAGGGGACGCCCGGATGATTTGATGTTTTATCATCCTTGTGGGAGGCTTCTCTCATGTCACCGCATGAGGAGCTGGAGCTGAAGAGGGAGCTCATCTGTCTCTCCCCAGATTTGAACCTGCGACCTATCGGTCTTCAGTCCTGCCAGGACAGGGGCTTAACCCACTGCGCCACCGGGGGCTCCTTTTGGGAATTGAAGTCCTAAACATCTAGATCAGTGGTTCTCAATCTTCCTAACGCTGCGACCCCTTAATACAGTTACTCATGTTGTGGTGACCTCCAACCCTAAAATTATTTTAGTTGCTACTTCATAACTGGAATTTTGCTACTGTTATGAATCGTCATGACAATATCTGATAGGCAGGATGTATTTTCATTCTTTGGACCTTGGGAGTTGTAGTTGCTGGGATTTATAGTTCACCTATAATCAAAGAGCCTTCTGAACTCCACCAGAGATGGAATTGACCCAAACTTGGCACACAGAACGCCCATAACCAGCAAAAAATAATGAAAGGATTAGGTAAGCATTGGCCTTGAGCTTGGGAGTTGTAGTTCACCTATCTCCAAAAAGCACTGTGGACTCAAACAATGATGGATCTGGACCAAACTTGGCATGAATACTCAATATGCATAAATGTGAACACTGTTGGAGTTTGGGGAAAATAGACCTTGACATTTGGGAGTTGTAGTTGCTGAGATTTATAGTTCACCTACAATCAGAGAGCATTCTGAACCCCACCAACAATAGAAATGGGCCAGACTTCCCACACAGAACACCCATGACCAGCAGAAAATACTGTGTATCCTGATGGTCTTTGGCGACCTCTCCGACTCCCCATCGTGACCCCCCTAGGGATCCCGACCCCCAGGTTGAGAAACACTGATCTAGATGACCAAAGATTGTCATGTACAGGTGAAGTCAAGTTCAGAAAAGCTTTAAGTTGGTCACAAGACATTTCACGTTGCTGACTCTGAGATATATAACTACATAATACATTTGTATGTAAAGCAATTCAAAGACTTTGTGGGATTCCACCATGAGCCAAACCATTCCCTCTATGCAGGTTAGCCCCTTATTTGTCCATTAACCAAGGCATCTCCTTGCTCCTTTGTTCCAAGTCTCTCCTGAGAACAACCTTGCATCTTCCGTAATTATCAATCTATCACAGGCATGCGCAAACTTCAGCCCTCCAGGTGTTTTGGACTTCAACTCCCACAATTCCTAACAATCTGTAGGCTGCTAGAAGTTGGTGGGAGTTGAAGTCCAAAACACTTGGAGGGCCAAAGTTGGCCCATGCCTGATCTATCAGCACAGTAAAAAATCCTATTGAGAAAAAATGGCATTCCACATTAGCCCCAATATACAAGCGAGTACATGCATGGTTAAATGTATGGTAAGAGACATCATCCAGTGCACACAACACATGGAACTGTAGGTAAGAAAAAGCAAACCCTACTGAAGAAATGACTTCCATCAGAAGTAGGCAATACTTTACTTACTTTACTTACTTAAGCGATCCCTTGCTTTCCGAGGATGATTGTCTTCCAGTGTTCTTGTGGGTCTGTATGTGGCTGTGGAGCCCTATTCTTGCTCTGCATCTTCTTCCGCAGTGAGGGCATTGGTTTCCAGGTGGAAGGCGGTCTCGGTCGGGGTTGGCTTGACACATCTTCCTCTTGGCATGCTTCTCCCTTTCGCCCTCCATTCGTGCCTCTTCAAATTCTGCAGCACTGCTGATCACAGCTGACCTCCAGCAGGAGCACTCAAGGGCCAGGGCTTCCCAGTTCTCAGTGTCTATGCCAGAGTTTTTAAGGTTGGCTTTGAGGCCATCTTTAAATCTCTTTTCCTGTCCTCCAACATTCTGTTTTCCGTTCTTGAGTTCGGAGTAGAGCAACTGCTTTGGGAGATGGTGGTCGGGCATCCGGACAACGTGGCTGGTCCAGCGGAGTTGGTGGCGGAGTACCATCGCTTCAATGCTGGTGGTTTTTGCTGACGTTTGTCCGCTTGTCTTCCCAAGAGATTTGCAGGATTTTCCGGAGGCAGCGCTGATGGAATCGTTCCAGGAGTTGCATGTGACGTCTGTAGACAGTCCACGTTTCACAGGCATATAGCAGGGTTGGGAGGACAATAGCTCTATAAACAAGCACCTTGGTATCCCTACGGATGTCCCGGTCCTCAAACACTCTCTGCTTCATTCGGAAAAATGCTGCGCTCGCAGAGCTCGCAGAGAGAAGTAGGCAATAGAGTTGCTCTGAGAAAACTAGGAGATGCCCAGAAGGAACACATCTGTAGGCATTGCTAAATTCTCCAGCATGACTCAATGATCAATTACCTGTCGAATTGCCCAGAGGAGCTAGAAATACCTAGAAAGGCCCTATGTAACATGATTTTTGTTCCAGGGTTATGTCATTTCCTAATTGGGAGGAACATCCCGCAGCACATTTTGCTATCGTTTTTCAATTAATAGCTCATAGAGCAGGCATCGGCAAACTTGGGCCCTCCAGGTGTTTTGGACTGCAACTCCCACAATTCCTAACAGCCAGTAGGCTGTTAGGAATTGTGGGAGTTGCAGTCCAAAACACCTGGAGGGCCCAAGTTTGCCTGTGCCTGTCATAGAGTCTCAACCAATTGAACATAGTTTGTAGCAACCCCAAAAAACAAAGTTTCTGGAGTAGAACAACTACTTTCAAAATAAGTACCACACAATTAAACAGGAAATAATGCTTTCAAACTAGGAACAGTAAATATTTCAAATTTTGTTGCATAGTGTTATATTCTATTTATATTCTAATCTAACCCACCCAATACTATTTAATTGGTTTTTTTGAAATTATTCATTTCGTTTTAAATTGTTAGCCACCTTGCGTCCCCTCAGGGATAAGTAAAATAATAATAATAATAATAATAATAATAATAATAATAATAATATGCTCGTAGCCATGGGATGTTTCCTTTATTTCAGAAGAGGGAAAGCAGAAACATCCCGCACAACTTTTCTTTCAAAGTTGTATCTACACTGTAGACTTAATTCAGTTTGACACCACTTGAATAGCCATTGCTCAAGTCTATGGAGTCATGGGAATTGTAGTTTGGTGAGGCATTTATTCATTAACAGTATTTATATTCTGCTCTTCTCACCGCGAAGGGGACTCAGGGGGGATCACAGAACACACGTATGTGACAAACATTCAATGCAATTTATACACTGACAGACAGGCAATTTTATATAGGCTTTTCCCATCTTCGGCATCTTGGAAGCATGAAGAGGCACTGGCATTTTTTTCTAGCATTTCTTATGGGTGCCCTTAAATACTTCCCTGATTTTAAGCAGTACCTATTTATCTACCCACATGTTGCTTTCAAACTGCTAGGTAGGCAGAAGCTGGGCTAAAGGCCAGGAGCTCACCCTGAACCAAGCTTTGAACTGTCAACCTTTCAATTGGCAATATTTACTGCAGCTGGTGGTTGCCCAGCCAATAATAATAATAATAATAATAATAATAATAATAATAATAATAATAGTAGTAGTCAACTTTATTTGTACCCCACCACCACCTCCCCTATGGGGACTTGGAGTGGCTTACATGGGGCCAGGCCCAAACAACAAATTACAATAAAGAGAACCAAAAACATAACCGAAAATGCAAACAATAAACAATCAAGCAGTACTCATTGACAGGAAAGGCTAAAGACTTTGACAAACTCCCAGGACCCCATACCATTGGGTCATGGCAGATAAAGGGGTGTCAAACCATTTTATTGCATGCTCTTTCCTTGGGTACCATCCCTTGAACAAAAATATAATAAATTAGGAGGACTAAGAATTTCTAAAGTGTGGTATAATACTTCTAGTCCTGGATTTGAATGCCAAGCACTTGAATTCCTAATAAGTTGGAAACTAAATGGGTTATAGTGGGTAAGTCACACTCTCTCAGCCTCAGAGGAAGACCATGACAAACCACCAAATAAATCATAAATCAACTTTAGGATAGCATTGCAATAAACATGATAGCCATGTATAAATATATGAGAGGAAGTCATAGGGAGGAGGGAGCAAGCTTATTTTCTGCTGCCCTGGAGACTAGGACGTGGAACAATGGCTTCAAACTACAGGAAAGGAGAATCCACCAGAACATTAGGAAGAACTTCCTGACTGTGAGAGCTGTTCAGCAGTGGAACTCTCTGCCCCAGAGTGTGGTGGAGGCTCCTTCTTTGGAGGTTTTTAAACAGAGGCTGGATGGCCATCTGTCAGGAGTGCTTTGAATGCGATTTTCCTGCTTCTTGGGAGGGGGTTGGACTGGATGACCCATGAGGTCTCTTCCAATTCTATGATTCTATGAGCCTTCTGTCTGCAGACATCTCTGATCTTTTTGTTGGCATGTCTGCATGGGGCGCCCTTTTACCTTCCCGCCGAGGTGGTACCTAGTGAGCTGTTCAGCAGCGGAACTCTCTGCCTCGGAGTGTGGTGGAGGTTCCTTCTTTGGAGACTTTGAAGTAGAGGCTGGATGGCTATCTGTCGGGAGTGCTTTGAATGAGATTTTCCTGCTGATTTTCCATGAGTTCTCTTCCAGCCCTATGATTCTATAATTAAGTGCAGGTAGGTGCAAACTTG